TCCCCACTAGAATGTGAGCTAGGTTTACCCAGCAGCTAGAATGAGGCCTCCTTTTGATAAATATTTGTTGAATGAATAAATCAATGAGTGAGAAAACCGAAGCCCAGAGAGGTGGATTGGTTTGCTGAAGATCTCACATGCAGTGGTACCAAGGCCCAAAGTGTGCTTTTCCCAGCCCCTCATGGCTGCTGATCCTAGTTTTAAAAAAAATCTGCCCATTACTCTTTTTCAGGCAAAGAGTGGTGGTGTCTTCTTTAGAGTTTTGTTTAGGTGAAAGGGGTGAGGCTCTGTGGTCCGGGCTAGCTAAGTGCTTTGCCCTTCTCATCCTGGTCATGCCACTTCCCAAAGACTTCACCCTTGTTTCCCACCAAAACTCCACCTTCCCTTGCACTCACCCTCAGGCTCAGAATGCTGCTGTCATCCTATACTGTGGCATTAAGTACTTTCTGTACTATTACATACTGAAAGGACTGCCCAAAGATAATCATTGACTGTCCTATTGCTTCCTTAAAAGACTGAACCTAAACCATCCCTGAGACATTAACAGCTTTCATATCCTCTAAAAACTTCCAGACAAGAAGATTCCATAATTTCCTTGTTGGCATCTGTGCTTGGCAGTACTGCTGCAGGAATGTTCTTTATTGCACCCTGTAGTTAAGACTTAACAACAAATGCCTTTTCTTTAGAATGCTTCTGGGTCAGCTTTCTTTCTCGTATAGCACTGAAAAGTGAGATTTGCCCCAAAATGTTGAGTGAGAGAAAAAGCAAAAGATAGAGGGCACAAGCCAGAAATCTATTTATACTGAGGAAAACATAAGGTCTACCTGCAGGGGCCATACTCACTCCCACCCTGTAGCCGTTCCTTGCATGAACCTGTCCCCTTCTCTAGAGGGTACAAGGACACAGGAAGCAAGCCAGAGAAAGGTGGTGAGGCCTTGGCAGTAACCTCTTGACAGCCGCTCCTCCCCTAGCATTCTGTGAGGGAGCCAAACAGCCACATAAGAATAGGGTTGATATGCAAACCCACTGTGGGCAGAGCATCTTCTAAGGAAGCACATCCCATCCCTGACCTCTGAACTTGACACTCCAAAAGACTGAACTTCACAGTCATGATACAATTTCCGGCATGGCTGGCATCCAGCCCGAAATGGCCTCTGTGACTATAGCTAAGGAGGTGTCATGCTAATGAGCAGTGGAAGAACAGCCTGCAATGCTTGGCACATCAACTACTTTCTCTTCATCTCTTAGCACAACATATACTCACTCATATAAAATTGAATAATCTGTTTTATTATATAATGAAAGTACTAAGTACAGTGGCTTATCTCCAACTATGTGCTGACACAATTACCTGGGTGTGTTTTTCAGTGGGGAACCAACACTCAAGACCTAGAAATCCTAGGGGCTGTCATTTGTTTCTTCTTTATTTTTTTAAAGCAAGGTAATTCAATTATTCCTTGATTTCTAGAAGGAGGCCTCCCTCTATTTTTGTCTCTCTTTCAATTTAGAGGCTATGCTGGGCTCTGGGCTCTGAGTGGTTCTCATGTGCTAGTAATGGCTTGGCTCATCAGGAAATGGGATTTGGGGGTGGACAGTTGCTGGAGGCCAGATCTGGGTTTGGCCAAAAGTGGATGAGGAGTGGGGCGGAGGAGTGGCAGTTTGCGTTGAGAAGTTTCAGGCTCCTAGGAGGAACTCTCAGGCCTAGCCATGCTGGACCCCTAAGGAGCACAGCAGTTGGCTGCCAAGGGAGTGTAGATGGGTCAAGTGTGAATAAGAGGAGGGCAGGGCCAGAAGTTGATTCAAATTCGGTGGTAGGATTTGATGAGGTTTAAAGATTTCCAAGGAGCTAATCTAATGCTTTTTCTTATATCTTCTGAACTAAAAAATGCCAATTAGTTCCAGACAGCTACTTTCTAAGGTAGTGTTTAGAATGTTTGCTTATTTACCCCTTAATCCAAATTCTATGAAATCATTCACTGAGCTACATGTGACAATTACCATTGAGCCTGCAGGGACACTTTAGTGTGCACACAGCAAGCAGAGGAAAAAAATGCCCAGCACACGGGTCCACAGGCAGGTGCCCCGAGCAGAGCAGGAGGGCTCTTCAAAAGAGGCCTCAGAAACAATGACAGATCCTCAAAGGAAAATGCCACTGAGGCTGGCTTGCATGTTCCATCAACAAGATACTTAGAGCTGGATTACTGACAATACGAATTTGCATTTCATAAGAACAAAAAGGATCTAGTTCTACCTGAAGATTTCAGATACATGAGCAACCAGAATGTTTCAATGGTTTGGAGGATGTAGATGATGCAGGAATGACAATCAGGAAGAAAGAAAATCAACACACACTTAAATGAGAACACACAGCAAATTCTCACTTGATTTTTAGGTGATGTCTATACAGTGTGGCTCTCATTTAAAATGCCATTTCCAATGTCATAGAAATAAGCAGTTATCAGGGATTTTATCTAAAAAGAAGCTTTAAGGTTATACCATATACATTTATATCCCAGTTTCCTTAACATTTTATTACATTGGTATTGTATTTTTGATAAATAATTCAAGACAAAAGGATCCCTTGAGCTCAAGAGTTCCAGTCACACCTGGGAAACAGAGCAAGAACCTGTGTTTAAAAAGGGGCTTCTGTTTGTCAAATGCCTACTAGAGGATAAGGCTGTGCTGAGAAATTTTGTAATTATCATCTCACCTAGTCCTCATGGCAAGCCAGCTAGATAAATATGTCCCCATCAGTGCAGTTGAGGAAAGGCCAGCTCAGGATCCCCTGGCTACAATGCAGCTGCCATTCCTTGGCCTTCCCCTGTTACTTGGTACCCAGTGCTCCACTCCCTATCCCAGTTCCCATATGTCATTTAGCTGATCTCACCTTTTGCTTCTAGTGTTGGGATCTCTCTAGCTACCTATGTAACTAGTGGTACGAGGAGTGGTAATGGAGCACTCTATGTTGAGTATGTAACAAGGATACGAATGTGAAAATGCTAGTGCATATGCAGTCCTCATTTTTTTTTTTTTTGAGACATGGTCTCACTCTGTCACCCAGGCTGGATGGAGTGCACTGGTGTGATCACAGCTCACTTGCAGCCTTGACCTCCTGGGCTCAAGTGATCCTCCCTGCTCAGCTTCCTGAGTAGCTGAGACAAGTGTGTGCCACTACATCTGGTTTATTTTTAAATTTTTTGTAGAGATGGTGTCTCCCTATGTTGCCCAGGATAGTCTTGAACTCCTGGGACTCAAGTGGTCTTCCCGCTTTGGCCTCCCAAAGTAGCAGGATGATAGGTGTGACCTGCTACACCTGGCCGCAGTTTTTTATCTGGCCTAATTTTTATCAGCTGGCCGCTTTCCTGCTCAGCAGGGATAACAGCAGATGTTGCTTAACAAGGAACTGAGATCTGATGACCCCTCCACTGCCCATGTCTCGTTTGTCTGCCAAATAGACAAACACAAATAGTGTTTTAAAATTTTAATTATCATTTTCTTTTTTCTTTTCTTTTTCTTTTTTTGAGACAGAGTCTTGCCCTGTCACCAAACCTGGAGTGCAATGGTGTGATCTTGGGTCATTGCAACCTCTGCCTCCTGGGTTGAAGCGATTCTCCTGCCACAGCCTCCCGAGTACCTAGGATTACAGGCATGTGCCACCATGCCCAGCTAAATTTTTGTATCTTTAGTAGAGACAGGGATTCACCATGTTGCCAGGTTGGTCTCAAACTCCTGACCTCATGATCCGCCTTCCCTGGCCTCCCAAAGTATTATTTTCTTTTTTAAAGATGGGGTCTTGCCATGTTGCCCAGGCTTGTCTCAAACTCCTGGGCTCAAGGGATCCTCCTGGGGCTACAGGTGCACTCTACTGCACCTAGCTTCTTATTTGTTTTTTATGATGAATTTAATTGTCTTTTGGTGGAGCAGGTGCTTGCCCCATCACTTTCTACTGTCCTATATATAACCTACTTCACTCATTTATATTATTTGTCAGGCCCCTGAAGGCATCTGGTTTGTGAACTCTGGGACTGAATGCTGGTTTTAACCATTAGCATCATACCTGGGTGATGGGATCTCCTAAGATCACTGTGAAGAGCTGCTTAGTGGTACACTACACAACTCTAGGGAATCTATTTGCAAAAACTATGGATGTGAATTATACTCCTGGGAGTTATAGAGTACACAGCTTATGCAACTGTTGGTAGTGGCTCAAGAGTTGCACACTGTGCTGGTGGTGCACAGGGAATGATTCTGCCCTGAATACAAAGTATTACCCTTAGTCCCACAGGAATGACAAAAGTCAGGATGATGAACCAACAGGAAGTGTATATATGGCTCAAAGGGTTACCATTTAATGGTCTGCCCAGCTTTTGGGTTGCTACAACTTAAACCATCCAATTAAAAGTCATCTCTGGACAGACCAGGTCCAGCTACTAGTGTCCCCAAAGTGCCAAAATAACCGCACTCACTGAAGTAATTAAGAAACCTGAGTGGGCTGTTTTCAACAATGGTGAGAAAAGCAAGTTTATACTTCTTAGAATCTTACTAAATTAATGGTGAAAATTACTAGTTGCTTTTATTTTTCCCCCAAGCAAAGAAGGTGCTGTGAATGCTTTCGCCCTTTTACTCTCAAGGGAAATCTAGCAATCCTTAAACCATCTGAAACACAGAAATCATAGCAATGATTCAGATCCCACATCTAGGACTGTGCCAAACTTAGGCTGAACTACTCAAAACCTGACATGTAAGTGAACTAGAAACTACAAGTGACTGAGCCGCAGGTGAGGTTCAGTTCCCTTTAAGAAAGATACTCATATTCTGTGCCTCTGAGACCTTAGTGTATCAAATAGAAACCAGCTATGCCACAAACCTAACGTGTGAGTGACTTGGACATCAGCTCCCAAGTGGGGATATGGCATCTAGTATACCTTCTAGCTCCTACTCAGCCAGTTTTCTGTAAGTCAATAAACATTCATTAACAATACACAAACCAAAGTACATACCTCCTCAGGCAAGCTGACCACCAAGTCATTTTTTGTCTGTCCGACTAGCGCCTGCCAAAAGTATTCACTGCATGCGGCCAGCACAGCCCGGTGGGCCCGGAACTCCTTCCTCTCCACGATCAAAGTCACATCACAGAGAATATCCTTTTTCCGCTGGTCATTGAGGCCCAGGAGGATGTTGGTGCAGTGAACTGTGGACTCATACACATACATGGGGGAGTCAGGCTTCTCATCCACAGACATACCGTTCACACCCTGAAAGAAAGAAAGGCTGAGTCACCACAGCTGTCAGATCAGAGAGAGAAGGTGAGAAAGAACATCATGGTCCCTGTGTCCCACTGCCATGAGCATGGCCGGAAGGAAGAGAACTGCCAATCAGCACATACAGGCTTACTCTCTACAATGAGCTCAGGAAACATACCAGGAAAGTCAAGTTCCACAGATGACTTTATCCTTTCTATTTACTGCATTCTTTTACTCTATGGTAACAAAGCCAGATCTTTTAACAGAACACTTAAAACATTTGAAACACATAGGTATTTTAAAACTTGGTGGTTCTAATATTGTTAGAAGGCTGAAAAGGGACCTTCACATGCAAATAGTCTCCATGCAAGGACTAATTTAGATTTGTGTTAAGAGGAAATGAATCATTTTGAAGTATTTGTTGTCTCAATGAAGTACATGTAAGTTCCTAAGGTGAAATTTGGCTGAGATGCCAAGTAGAGTAAATATCAAATAACAATACATATTTAACAAGTGAACCAAACTGTCTGCACACTGAGGACCCAGTAGAGTCAGCTATCACACCTGCCCTCTGCCATTTCAAGGCAAAGCACAATCACCATATGCTATAGTTGCTTAGCTCTTGGAAAGATGTGGAATTGTGTTATGGTTATCCCAGCCAACTTGATGTACATCCACTTTAAGGAAACACAATGTATCACAACAGCAGTCATGAAAAAAGATGCATTCAACAGTCAAGATTACTTTTATAAAAGGTTCTTTGCTTTAGCAAATACCCATGGAAGTATCTCCTTTTTTCTTTTTTGAGATGGAGTTTTGCTCTTGTTGCCCAGGCTGGAGTGCAATGGTGCGAACTCAGCTCACTGCAAACTCTGCCTCCCGGGTTCAAGTGATTCTCCTGCCTCAGCCTACCGAGTAGCAGGGATTACAGGCGTGTGCCACCACACACAGCTAATTTTTGTATTTTTAGTAGAGACGGGGTTTCGCCATGTTGGCCAGGCTGGTCTTGAACTCCTGACCTCAGGTGATCCACCTGCCTCAGCCTCCCAAAGTGCTGAGATTACAGGTATGAGCCACTGTGCTTGGCCCCATTGAAGTATTTTAAAATATAATATCTGTAATTAATTTATATAGTTACATAGTTTTTCTGTAACATTTACTATAGTGGTAAGAATTCTAGTAGTGGGTCCTACTTTCTTTTTGGCTTTATTATTTTTTAAAACAGCTTTAACATACAATAAACTGCACATATTTATAGTGAGCAATTTGATGTTTTGATTATGTATGTAACTGTGAAACCATCATCACAATAAAGATACTGAACAAATCCATCAATACCAAAAGTATCCTTAAGGCCCTTACAATAATTCCTCCCTTGTACCCCTCTGTACTCCACTCCTGCAACGACTGACCAGCTTTCTGACATTGGATTTTATGGAGTTTCATATAAATGGAATCATACACTACATATTCTTTTATGTCTTACTCTTTTACTCAGCATAATTATTTTACCATTCATCCATGTTGCTGCATATATCAAGTCTGTTCCTTTATTACTTATTATTTATATATAAATATAGTGTAATTTTTTAATTCATTCATGTATTAGTGGATATTTGGGTTGTTTCCAGTATTTATTTACAAATAAAGCTGCTGTGAACATTCACGTCCAATTCTTTGTGTGGACATATGCTTTCACTTCTCTTGGGTAAATACCTACGAGTAAAATGTATCATCCAATACATGTAAGCATAACTTTTAAAGAGTCTGCCACTGTTTTCTAAAGTGGTTGTAACATTTTACATTTCCACCAGCAGTGTATGAGTTCCAGTTCTTTCACATCCTTGCCAACATCTGGTATGGCCGGTCTTTCTAATTTTGGACATTGTAATAGGTATATTATATCTCTTTTTGGGTTTAATTTGCTTTCTCTAGTGCCTGAAGATGTTGAGAATCTTTCAGGTGTTTATTTGACCTCTGATATCTTCTTTGGGGAAATGTCTACTTGGATTCTTTGCCAATTTTTAATTGGGTTGTTTTCTTATTTTTCAGTTTTAAGAGTTCTTTATATATTCTGAATAAAAGTCCTTCATCAGATATGTGATTTGTAAAAACTTTTCCACAGTCTGTAGCTTGTCTTTTTCCTTCTCTTAAAAGTGTCTTTGAAAGAACAGAAAGTCTTTATTTGATGAAGTCAAAAAACCATTTTGGTGTCTTATCTAAAGAATTAAACCAAGGTCATAAAGATTTTCTCCTATGTTTTCTGCTAGAAGTGTTATATTTTTAGGCCTTATTATTTAGGTCTATGGCCCACGTTGGGTTAATTTTCATATATGTAAACAGGTATGAATTGAGGTTCTTTTTTTCCTTTTTTATATGACTATCCAATTGTTCCAGCAGCAATGTTCAAAAGACTCTTTTCTCTCCTGAATTACCTTTGTACTTTTATTGAAAATCAATTGTTTATATATGTGTGAATCTATGGACTCTGTCTTTTACTATTTTTATGTTTGTCTACTTTTTTTTGTTGTTATTTTGGAGACAGGGTATCAGTTTGGAGAGCGATGGCGTAATCATAGCTCACATCAGTAGCTGGCACTACAGGTGTGCATCACCATATCTGGCTAATTTAAAAATATTTTTTTGTAGGCTAAGTGCAGTGGCTCATGCCTGTAATCCCAGCACTTTGGGAGGCCGAGGCAGGTAGATCACCTGAGGTCAGGAGTTCAAGACCATCCTGGCCAACATGGTGAAACCCTGTCTCTACTAAAAATATAAAAAAATTAGCTGGGCGTGGTGGTGCGCACCTGTAATCCCAGCCACTCGGGAGGCTGAGACAGGAGAATAGCATGAACCCAGGAGATGGAGGTTGCAGTGTGCTGAGACTGCACCATTGCACTCCAGCCTGGGTAACAAAGCAAGACTGTCTCTATCTATCTATCTATCTATCTATCTATCTATCTATCTATCATCTATCTATCTATAACTACTTTTACGTTACTATCATAGTGTCTTGATTTGCTCTTTTTCAAAGTTATTTTGATCCTTTGCATTTCCATATACATTCTATAATTAGCTTGCCAATTTCTACAAAATAGTCTGCTGGAATTTTCACTGAGATTGTTTTGAATCTATTGATGAATTCAGGAAGCACTGCCATCTTAATAATGAATCTTCTGACCCATGAACAGTCTATTTATTTAGGTCATCTTAAATTTTCTCAGCAGCTGTACATGGTGGCTCATGCCTGTAATGCCAGAACTTTGGGAGACCGAGGCAGGTGGATCACTTAAAGTCAGGAGTGTGAGACCAGCCTGGCCAACAATGCTGAAACCCCATCTCTACTTAAAATACAAAAATTAGCTGGGTATGGTAGCGTATGCCTGTGATCCCAGCTACTTATGATGCTGAGGTAGGAGAATTGCTTGAACTTAGGGGGCTAAAGTTTACAGTGAGCCAAGATTGAGGCACTGCACTCCAGACTGGGCAACAGAGCAAAATTCTGCCTCAAAAAAAAAATTTTTTTTTTTTCTCAGCAATCTTTTAATTTTGTTTTTGAGACAGTCTCACTCTGTCACCTCGGCTGGATTGCAGTGGTTCAATCTTGGCTCACTGTAACATCCACCTCCCGAGTTCAACTGATTCTCTTACCTCAGCCTCCAGAGTAGCTGGAATTAGGGGCATGAGCCACCTTGCCTGGACAATTTTTGTATTTTTAGTAGAGACAGGGTTTCACCAGGTTGGTCAGGCTGGTCTCAAACTCCTGGCCTTGAGTGATCCACCCGCCTTGGCCTCCCAAAGTGCTGGGATTACAGGGTCCTCAGCAATGTTTTATAGTAGTATATAGGTCTTTTCTACCTCTTCTGTCAGATTTATACCCAAGTATGAATATTTTTGATGCCACTGTAAATTGCATTGTCTTTTAATTTCAATTTCTAATTTTTCATTGTTAGTATGTACATACAAATAATTTTTGTGTACTGATCTTGTATCTGGAAACCTTGCTTATTAGTTTTCATAGCCTGTTTTTTCTTGGTAGATTCCATAGAATTTTCTATATAGAAGATTATGTCATCTGTGAATAAAGATCTCTTACTTTCTTTCAATTTGTATAATTTTAATGTCTTTTTCTTACCTTACTGCATTGCCTAGAACCTCTAGTACAATGCTGAATAGAGGTGGTGAGACTAAATATCCTTGCCTTTCTGATGTTAGGAAGAAAGTATTCAGCCATTCAGCATTATGTATGATGTTAGCAATAGATGCTTCATAGATGCTCCTATTGAGCTGAGGAAGTTTTCCTTCATTCTTCCCCTTTTCTCCCCTTCCCTCCCATACCCTCCCTTCTCTCACCATTCCTTCCCCTTCCCTTTTCTTTTTCTACCTTTCTTTCTTTTTCTTCAGTGGCAGTCATGGTTCACTGCAACCTTAAATTCATGGGCTCAAGTGATTCTCCTGCCTCAGCCTCCTCAGTAGCTAGGACTACAGTTGTGCACCACCATACCTGGCTAATTATTTCTTATTTTTTTGTAGAGATGAAGCCTTGCTATTTTGCCCAGGTTGCTCTTGAACTCCTGGCATCAAGCAATCCTCCTACCTTGGTCTCTCAAAGTGTTGGGATTACAGGTGTGAGCCACTGCACCCGGCCCTGTGTTTGCATTCTTATACGTTGTTGGATTCAATTTATTATCATTTTGTTAATAATTTTCATCTATGTTCAATAGGGAGATTTGTCTGTAGTTTTCTTACATATTTTTTCTGGTCTGGTTTTAGCATCAGGGTAATGAAGATCTCATAAAGTGAGCTGGGAAGTATTTCTTCCTCTTCAATTTTCTAAAAGGATTTTTTTTTTTTTTTAAGAATTGGTTTTATTTCTTCCTTAAATGTTTGGTAGAATTTTCCTGTGAAGACTTTAGAGCTGGGATTTTAACTACAAATTCAATTTTTAAAAAAATCTATCAAATTTATTGCCAGAAAATTGTATATAATTTTTTTTTTTTTAAAAGAGACAG